GGAGGGGGGGATTTTTGACAATTAGTTTATAATGGGAGTTCAGATATTTATCTCACCAAAATGTGTCTATATTCATCCATCTGAACACTAGGACCATATCTAGGACAGGCAATGAGGCCAAGATAACTATTTATACTTGCTATTTATTAGATTACTTTATTACCCTTTCTTTAATGAATATAATCAAACGACAACGAAGGTTATTTTAAACTTTACAAAGTAGGAATTAATATTACAATTTTACCAGGTATAAAGAACGATATATAAAGTAGTTTTATATCTTTTTGATAATTTATTCATGCATTTTTAGTCACAAGTGGATTAGTCATTCTATATATTGGCGGTATTAAATAATATATTAATTGGTATATATTGAGTTATATGAGGATTAAATTACATTTCAAATCAAATATAAAACAAAATTATATACTATTGACTATTTTTTCTAATACATCATAATAAGTGACCCCATATAGTATGATTGTGGGGAATACACTTGCACCATCCCCAATAATAATGTATGCGACATCTCTCCAACAAAGGGCAGACTGACGAAAATAATTAATTAATCAAGGTGAAATATTGATGGTATAAATATATGACACCTGGGTCTAACTCAATCCAAAAGCTAACTCATGCGGAAAAGTTTATTCAAATCCATATAAGGAGACAAATTTTCCTTCCCCTACCGATGTGAGCTTCTTAACTAATATTCTTTTGAAAAAGGATACTTGTGATACCTTGAACAATACTTGCATCAAAATATAGAGAGAAAAAATATGTGTTATATGACGAAACAAAAAAAAAATTCATATGCTACACACACTTTTTACCAACTCTATAATATTGTACTCAACAAACTAATTTGTTTGATCGATCTGTTGGGACAAAGAAAACAACTTATGAGAAATGATTGCAACTATCCAGACATATACTTTTCCGGAGAAACTTGTGAGTTTTGACCAAAAAATATTTTAAATAAACAGATTTTGAAAATTTAATTAAACAAGTTATTATAATGACTGCGGAAATGATTTTAACTTAAATTTTACAACCATCAATATGCCATAATATTTGTGATTTATAAAACTTTTGAAACTAGTTATCTTAAAAATATCATAACAGTTATGTGATTATAAGAACTTATTATTAAAAGCAATATTAAAAATTTATTCAATTTTATTTTTCAAATTTAAAAAGAAATTATTCCTTATTAAATCAACTTAAACGAAAATAAGTGTAATTGACTCCGCAGGAAAATGAGGAAAAGAATCTTAGGGATGTATTCAGACTTCAGTACATTGGAAATCATTCTAGAAAATATTTTTCAATTTTTTTCTATGTTCGACAGATCAAAATTTTAGAAAACTATTTTCTCAAAGGAAAATAAAACAAGTTCCTTACAAAACAGAAAAATAACGTCTCTAGCCAAGTGGAAAAAAAAGTTAGCACAAATGACATTCTAGTAGGGTGAAAAAAAAAATGACATTCCATTGATTCTACCTTTCCCACCCTATCTTCACCCACACTCCACTAGCCCCATCCCACCACCCCCGCACCTTCTACACCGACTTCTATCTCTCATAGTATTTTATCCCAAAAAAAACAAGTAAGAAATCATTTATATTTTAAAAAAATATTTTCCACTATTTTTTTTAAAATTTTTTTATACACTTCCTTAATTGTTCTTGTTTCTTCTGGGTTTTTTTTTTCTTTAGACTGTGTTGCTTTTTTCACTTTTTTTTAAAAATAAAATAAAATTGGATGTGAATCAGTCAGTAAATATGCCTGGTTTCAAAATAAGATAATTTGATAACCCGTTGTTAATCCCCCCTAATTCCTGACGGATTTTAGTAAGCACAATGTGGGGAAATCAAAAAATTCAACTAAGTAACTAAGTTACTAAGATTCTCATATAAATCCAGTTAACCACCAAGAAAGAAACAGAATTTAGGGTTATTCAGTGACGGTGCATTTACCGTGAAAAACATCTTTATAATAGGGGAGAGTACATAGTGACAGGTACTGGCCGGGGTACGCACCCACCCACCCACCCTAAATAA